ATTCTATTATTTGAATCCTGCATACTTAATTGATTCTTTACCTTTGTCTCCTTTAGACTTAAAGCTGTACACCTACCCAAGATGAAAATGCCTGCTATCTGCTGTAGGCAACTAGTTAAAAGCTCTGCAGAGTATCCCTTACTGCCTTCAACAACTTCAGCCTGAAGAAGCCTGATCGGTAAGTGCCCATTATCCCTCATGGCAATTTGGGTTACTTCTTCAGAGGAAAAATGCTATAGGCAGCTAAATCAATTAAAATATTATAGGTGGTCAGAAGACCTAGGGCCTCAAAGTAGCCAGCACAGAGGACTAGATGTCTTGTGTCCCTTGAGGAGACAGATACCTTCCATAGTTTGTGATACCTCCAACCCCACCTGCACTACCCATGCCAGGCGTATTTTAATCCTTCAATTTTTCCTTGCATTCTCCAGTATCCTATAGCTCCCAAATATTTATGAGGACTTAAACCTATAATTGTCTTTTAGACAATGGTTTTCTTAAACTTACCCATTCACTCTACAATATTCCCATTCTCCTGGTACTCAAGCCTACAGTCCTATAGTCTGACACAAGACCTTAGGGTAATCAAGGATGCTGTTACCCCAATTCACCCAATGGTGCCAAATCTTTGTATTATGTTCTCTCACATTTCTCCCTCCACCACTCACTTCATAGTCCTAGACCTTAAATATTAAAGATGCCTTTTTAAAAAAAACTATCTCCCCATACCCTGATTGTCAGGATTTCTTTGTGTTTATATAGACTGACCCAGACACCCTCAGGTCTCCACAACTTACACCTATCATCTCTATGTTAGAATCTCTCCTCAGGGACACATAACACCTCTTTCCTTTCCTACTTAGCAATTTCACGGACACACCCTTGTTCAGAACTGACAGGTAAAATGTAAATTTCATGCCCCACCACAAAACTCTCAAATATCTTCTCACCTTTGTACTTTTTCAGGATAGATAAAAGCCTTTCCCACAACCAGGGAGACTGCTGATATAGTTACTAAAGTCCTGTTACAAAAAGTCATTCCAAGGTTTGATCTGCCTCAGAGTATCCGGTCAGATAATGGTCCAGCTTTTATTCCTCCAATCTCTCAACAGGACTACAACTAAAATGAAGTGGCCCCTACCTGGTCTTCCTCAGAACTTCAACGGTGGTCAAGGTCACTGGACTGCCATCCTGGTTCCACATCGCTCAAGCTAAGCGGTCCCCTCCTAACTCTAACTCCCCTAACTCTAAACGTCCTCAGTGGTCATCTTATCTCCTATCTCCCACCTCCATCTCACCAAGGCCCCACAGCCACAATTTTCAGGCTAGGTCATGTTTTGTTATCCTATTGGTTCCTGATGCGTTACATTCTATTAGTTAACTTTTTCACTATAACTATCTTAGTGCTCTCTGCCCTCAGCTGTTTGTTAAACATGAGACTCCTGTGGATCTAAGACCTCGTATCACTTATAGTACACAGCCATGGCCCTCCCCACCCCTACTCTATAATTTCCTAACCATGATTCAACTGTCAGGCTTTGTATTTCTCATGCTTCTTATTCTTTTCAGCTCAACTGCTAGCGCAAAGACAACTTCTACCTACACTTTGTAACTTTTACCCTTTCAAATGGGAGAACAATTCCCTCTCATAACTTCACCCTCCCAACCCCGTACTTATTTTTCAGATTCTACCTCACCATGGCCCTGATGGAACGACCCATTTGGATCAAGGACACTTTTCCTTCTACCTCTCCTGAGTCCTTTAATTATGATAGAGGCCTGCCTCCTAATAGCACTTTGTGTCTTTGTTTCTCCAAACTAGGATATGAGCATTCACCAATGAAAAAGTTGTCCTGGCCAAAACACTTGGTACCAGCTTCTACAAGGGCATCAACCATCATCCCATCAACCTTTCTAAACCCCAATATGGTGCCCTTTCAGCAGGGAGTAGTAAGAGAGAGACTTCATACTTTTCCTAACAATACAAAGATGGGAATGAAAGGTTCTTGCCCTAGTATAAATTACTGTACAATTATGGCGGTGGTCTAATGTGGGAGAAGGCCAAAGTTGGAATGCTTACCACTTCCTGCTTCTTCTTCTGCAACTTCCTAACTGCAACCTCCCTTCCCATTTGCACACACAGAGAATTCCAATTGGTTCCTTACATACGTCATCAATATCCATCTCATGCGCCACTTCAATCAGAGGTCATCTGGTATCTGGTCAAAGGAGACAGCTCAGCCGCCATGGGTTGTGTGCTCCTTTCCATGTCCTCAAATAAATAAACCTGTTCGTTTTGTACTTTGCTTCTCTATTGTGCCAGCATAATCCAACAACTAACATATACAAAATTTTAAAAAAACGAAATGGAGTTTATTTAGTTATTTCTGCCTGTCCGTGAATGAAAGGTAGCTACTATTGGGTAATGTTTATCCAGTGCTATTGTACTATTTCTATATATCAGACCCTACACATTTTATTATGTCAGTGTTTCTTAGGCTTTGGTAAAAATCAGTATCATCTGTGAATCTTGTCAAAATTCAGGTTTGGAGTTATTCAGTCCACGATAGTGTTCAGGGTCTACATTTCTTTGATGATCTGGGTGATCATGCTGTATACACATTACATTTTGAATAGCAAGGTGTAGACTCTCTTAATCCTGACAAAAACTGTATGAGGTAAGTACTGTTTTCCAAATTAAAGATGTAGAAACTAAAGGGTGGAGGAATTAATTTGTTCAAGGTCATGTTAGGAAGCACAGTTTGGACTCCATATTAAGATCTACCTCCTGATAAAATGTATAAAATCTGGATTGTGTTCTATGGCATTTGAGGGTGAACTGATTTTACCTGAAATAAAACCTATCATTTAAATTTATTATTTCTTCTTTTTAAAGGAAATGTTTCCATTTTAGCTTTCTTCATACAGGCCAGTGTATTAAATGGTGACTCATATATGTTGCATTTGGTGTCTAAAGATGAAGTTTAATATGATTTACAGTAGTCTTCACTCCAGCATAGTTACATTTTCCACACTTTCAATTACTTGCAGTCAACAGCAGACTAAAAATATTAAATGAACATTTCCAGAAATAAAAGATTCATAAATTTCAAAGAAAGTTTATTACGATAGATGATTGTAATGTCCTGTTTCATTGTATATTGTTGATAATCTTTTACTAATTTGTAAATCAAACATTATACTAGGCATGTATATATAGATAAAAAGGTGGTGGTGGTGGTGGTGGTGGTGGTGGTGGTGTGTGTGTGTGTGTGTGTGTGTGTGTGTGTGTGTATGCATATAAACAGGTCTATGGTGTTAGAGATCAAACCCAGAACTTGACACACGCTAGGTAAGTGTCCTACAATGGGCCATACCTCCAGAGCTGAAAACGCCTTGGTAGGGTTGGTGCTATCTACAGTTTCAGATACTCACTGGGGGTCTTTAAGCACATCCCCCTCAGGTAACAGGGGCCTAATGTGTTTGCCAAAATTATGATCCAGGAAACTGCACTATTGATGGAAACTGCATTGAACACGAGAGGAAATTGCTGAGGAAGGACGTATGTGAGGCAAGGAGATCCTCGGACAGATTTATTGTTTAGCTCTGTGGACACAATGTGCTATGCTTGCTACAACCAAGTCAAAAAGGACACAATCCCTGTCCTCCACAGCTCACATACTCCTTTAAAAATGAATTTTACCATCTTAAAAAGTTAACATGATTCATAATAGAAAATTTAAGCTACAGAATCTAATTAAACAGTACATTGAGCATCGTGTGATGTCACATGTCTGTAATCCCAGCACTCTGGGACGTTGAGGCAGAAGGATCATACACTAGAGCCTAGCCTGGGCAACTGAGTGACTTCACAAGACTGTCTCAAAAAACGGTTAAAAAAAGGTTTGTGCTATAGCACTGTGCAGAGGTCCTGGATTTAATCTTTAGTACCACCAGCAACCATCTCCAATCAACCAGCCAACCAACCAAACAAAAAACTTACAAAGTGATGTAAAATTGCACCAAACTGGATTTTTATTTTCAAAATTTAAAAAAACACATCGTAGAAAGGTGGCCAAAGATATCACTTATATGGAACAGCAAGAGTTCCAAATCTTGGCACAATGAGTTTAAACACCATTTTTGGTTCTGAAAGGTAGTCAGAGTAAAAGGGACAGAATTGCTGGTCCCCCAAAAGTTTTAGAAATGCAAACGAGCTATTTCAGCCAGCGCAAGACTCGGCGTTGGGGGTAACGTCCAAGTTTCATCAAGGTTTCCCTAACTGCGCTCAGCCCGAGTGGCCCAGAGGTGAGGCGCCTGCCTCTCCAACCTGGTCGGCAGTCACTGACGCATGCGCGGTCTGGCCTCGGTGTCACCGGCCTATTTTTCTCAGGCAGGTTTTTGTGGGGTTAGTAAAAAGGACCAGAACTGGAGCAGTGCACAGTTCTGAGCCTAAGAGCAGAAAGCAAAACGAGCTCTAAGGGAAAAACATCTCGGGTCGAAACCGGTTGGAGGGTAGAGGTGCACAGGCACGCGCGCGCGCACACACACACTCTTAGGTGCCAAAGCATCCTTAGCAGGAGTTAACTCAGTGACACTGTGAGGGATTATCTGCACAAAACGGAGATGCATCAGGAGTGGCGACAAACTCCAACTTTCAGCGCTGTGCTGCCCAGATGTTCTGTGCCTGCTCTTTTCTTTACTTTTCCGGAGGCCCAGGTGCTCCAATTAATTTGTCTCTTTTCCAAGGCCCCCTCTTTTAAATTCCATTCATTGTTCAGAGTGTCGGGGAGCCACACGGTTCTATAGTGTTCAGCCACACCGTCCCCAGGAAGTCGCGCCGACAGACCTGGACGCCTAGGGTTGTGCAAGCTCCGGCTGTGCGGGTTCGCGGGTGGGCGGGCGCGCTGGGATCCCCTCGGAGGCCGTCGCCCCGCCCCTAGCCCCGCCCTCGCCCCGCCCCCTCGCGCTTCCCCGCCCCCGCCCCAGTCCCAACCCGGGCTGCGGAGCGCTAGCACTCGCTCCCCCGGGGACTCGCAGAGGCAGCGGCGGCCGGGCGCGCCGGGCATGCTCAGTCGCGGGCGCCGGGCTCCGAGTCGGAAGCCTGTGCGCGGCCGCCCAGCCGGCCCGGGCGCACGGGGAGCGCGCGCGACTGGCTGCGGCTGCGGCTGCGGCTGGGCCGCGGGGGACCCCGCGCGGGACGCGAGCCTAGCCCCTCGCGGCGCCCCTGACCTGCCAGCTCCCTAGAACCCGCGCAGGACAGGGGCCAGCCGCGGCTGGTGGCGGCGGGGCGCGGGGGAACAGCCTCGGCGCCGGCAGCGACTCCGGCCGCCCGGCCCGCCGCGTCCCGGAGCCGTCGGGCATGGAGCCGTGGAAGCAGTGCGCGCAGTGGCTGATCCACTGCAAGGTGCTACCCGCCAACCACCGGGTGACCTGGGACTCGGCGCAGGTGTTCGACCTGGCGCAGACCCTCCGCGATGGAGTCCTGCTTTGCCAGCTGCTCAACAACCTCCGAGCGCACTCCATCAATCTGAAGGAGATCAACCTGAGGCCGCAGATGTCCCAGGTAAGGAGGCCGGCGAGCCGCGCCCCCGCCTCGCGCCGCTTCTCCCATTAATCATCCGGCTAATTTCTTTGTGTAAATGCAAACATCTAGGTGCACTCGGCTTGCCCTGCCGCCCAGCATTCTGGTTTGGGGACCACTTCAGCTTTTCCTTGGCTTGAAAAGGTTTCGCCCTTCAGTTGAATGCTAACGCCTAGTGTCCGTAGGATTGTCGAAAGGCTTACTGTGAGGAGGAAGAAATAAGTTCTCTTACGTGTCTCTCTCTGTGTAGAGCGACAATGGGAATTTGATCCAGCTCTTGTATAGTAACCACGAGAAAAGATGAAACGAGGTGAAGGGACAATTTTGCTTTTAGTTGGTTCTTTGAATTAACGTTTTATCCTCAAGCTCTCTTGAAGGAGGAATCATGTCATAAAAAGGGCTGTAGGAAGTGGAGGGCGCTCGGTACCGTTATCTGCACAGAATGACACTAGTCATAGGAAGGAAGAGAAGCTGGACACGGGATGTTTTCAAAGGGCCCCTGAGCTTGTGGCCATCTGGCACGCTGGAGGGTTGTGTTTACAGCGTTTCTCAACCAAGTGAGAAGGAGCTAGCCCAGCCTCTTTCAGCAGTGCCAGGAAATGAGAAGTTTCACTCGAGATTCCGCTTTCTTTCATTCTGCCCCGTGCTCAGGTGATGTGGTGCAGGTTTGGCTCCTGGCGCTGGAACTTTGCCTGGAGGTGTCTCTTGGAGGGTTTTAAAGAAAAAGCAGTTTTGGAAAGCTGTGTGCAGTGTAGAGTCAGCTCAGAAGTCACCAGGCAGTGGAATAGTGGTTTCTTGGTCCTGTCGGAAAGTTTCTGTTCAGAAAGATGTTAAAACATGATTCAGAGCGTCCCTCTTTCTCTCTCTCTCTCTCTTTTTTTTTTGCACAGTGTAAAATACTGCTTTCAACTTAAAAGCTAGAGGAAAGTCCTTTTCATGCCACATTTAAACACTAAATCCTGTATGATACAGATCGTCAGTTACTTAGCAACCAAGAGAGTGTCTTTTAAAAAGGAACTAACTTCATACAGTTTAATAATTATGCATTTAAAGTTAGAGCACACACACTTACCTCTTGAGTCTCTGTGTCCTTGTTTCAGTACGATATTCTGCAGTCTAAGTTATGTGCCTCTTGCCTGTCTACCTTTAAGCTCTTAGTGGGCTGATAGAAGGAAAGTTAGGCATATAAATAGTGAGAGCCTACATATTCAAAGGCAAGATAAATTATTTTGTATTCATCTATGAACTTCATGATGATTGGTGACTCTGTGATACCAACTCTGGATGTTCCTGTTAACAGACATTTCCAATATGGTGGGAGTTGCAGTTATGAACAAACTTCAGTAGTGAGCTTTGGTCGGCTGGCTATCCAGTCTCACAGATTCGTGTTTTCTGTGTTAGCCTCAGAAGGCAGCATGGGTCAGGATGCTTTGGCCCAGGAGCAGAGAGTATACTTCAGGGTACTTCAGTTTCCTGGAGCTTTCGGCAGTTGTTCATTAGATTCTCAATAATCGTTTCCTGAACTGAGGGTCTCCTTTTTTAACCCTCAAAGCCTTATTTGGACAATGGATGAAAGTTTAAATGTGTTTTGCTTGCTTTTCTCTTAAATCGTATTAGAAGTAATTCAATCCTTTTTATGATTAAAGGATACCATTATAAGCATCATTAGTGAAAACAGCATGTACAATTCTTTAAGAGCTCTATTTCTACTGAGGGTACTACAACGAACACACCAGGATACTGCTCTAAAGGAATTATTGCACAGCTATCAGGTAAAACTCTAGGTTATAATAAGGTAAGTAGGACAGCTAAAGGATTATCTATAGGCTGTTGTGATTTTGAATTCTTAAGTCTTGACAAAACCAGAGCTTTCTAATTTGACTGAGTTCAGTTTTCTTTGTAATATACTGTGAGCTAGGAGTACTTTTTTTAGACATGAAGACTAATGCCTGAAGGTCAAGGTATCTTTTTTGTTTGTTTGTTTTGTCATTGGTTCTTGGCCACATTTCAGACAGCTAAGGTTGCTGGGAGCTAGGCAGATAAGTTTCTGCTTCATAAGTTGTCAATAAAGCCTTAAATGACTCTTGTTAAATGGTTTCATAAAATATATTAACATATTTAGCATGCTTGCAGTGCTTAATATTATAGCAAACATGTTTGCTATAGCAGAGTGATTTTTCTGCTATTGTCCTTACAAGTTACCTTGTGTTGACATCTTTGTTCTCATGTATCTGTCTCAGGAAAGGTTCTGGCTACTCATGGTTATGAGGCCCCTATCCTTTAACTCCGCTCATAATGTATACGTAATGACCTGTTCGTCCACTGCAACCCTGACATTCATCCCCTCAGAGGTCGCTTTTCTGAAGTTAGAGGACATTACTAGTACTTGTTGCTTTTGTTGTGGCTACAAGTCATTCTGACTTAGAGTCTGCCCTGATTTATGTTCTGAAGATATTAATTTGAAATGGGTTATTCCGTTTTAGCTCATGGTCTTCTAAGGAAAGAAGTAACAATGCTGTCACTTCAGAATTTTGTGGCATTCTGAGAGAGTTATGAGTAGATGCTGATGACAGAAACTTATTTATTGATGCTTTGCTTATTGCCTGTGTTTAGTTTTCTCAGAAGAGGCTATAAAATGACTAGCTTCTTTTCAGAGGAGTGTTTATCCAGCGAGTGGGATGTTTTTTCATTTTTCTGTTAGCTTTCAGCCTTGTTTGTATTTAAAAAAATAAATAACCCTGCAAGTAATGATTGCTTAATTATAGGTTTGAATCTTAGACTCTTCATAGGCTAATTGGGTCTTCTTCAAAACAGAAGCATAAATGTGATGCCTGCTTCTCATACTTAGTGTTCTTTCTGGCTGTGGACATCCAGTTCTTTTTGGTCTTGCCACCTTGGTAAGATGATCTTTTTCCACTTAGAAAGAGGTATACTGTTAACAGTGATTTAGATTCTGTTTTTATTTATAATGAGTTAACATCGTATTTAATTGTATTTTAGCATGCTCCTTTTATTATAAAGAATAAAATGAAATACAATCCTGATGGCTATTGAAAATCCAAGCAATTTTGTGTCTGTATATATTTGATAGATTTATTTTCCATCCTAAACAATACGGTAGCCAAGGCATAAAGCACTCAGATGATTCTGGAGAGAAGCCTAATGGTAAAGATTATAGTGGGAGTGCCTTGTGGGCAGGCAGGGGGTGTTGGCACGATGTCATTTGCAGTGGCTAACATGGTCTCCATGTATGTCTGTTACCGACCGTTATTGATGGGATGAGTGTAGCCTTATTAATTTGCAATTTAAAAATTTATTTTATACTATGTCTTAGAGGGATAGAATACTATCCCTCTACTAACATTTGATGAATTTGTTGATCATTCTATGCAAAATGTATAAGCTTTGAATATTGTTAAAATATGTTACTCAGGCTTCAAGTGTTCCTTCAACAAATATTTATTTGTTCCTTCTGTGTGCCAGGCATTATTTAAGCCACTAGCTTAATAGTAGTAAATGGACTCTAGTCCCTGCCCCAAAGGCATTTACATGTTAGTGGAGAGTATGGAGCATGAAAAATAAGTGACTATGTAACATAAAGTGTAATGAGAACATTTGAAGATGAATAAGGAAATAGAAAGAAGTATGTTGAGATTTTGTAGGAAGGTTGTTTATGCAACTAATGGAAGGTAGCCAAGAAAGCCTTGTCTGGGAAGGCTTTCTAAGACAACTAAGGTAGGGTTAGAGGGACCTGAAAGGAGTGAGAAAATGTGGGAAAAGAATATTCCCAGCAGAGGAGACACCAAAATTGACGGTCCTGAGGTAATTAGCTGCAGACACCCTAGAGACCTTCATGGGAAAGTATGGTGGAGAGGAGATCGAAAGGAAAACAGAAACCCAGTTTTTAGGGCTTATGGGGCTTTGCAAGGACTCTGACTTTCACTCTGAATGAAATGGAAGGCCAGCCAAAAGTTCGAGCAAAGACATGGGCTGACCTGCCTTGCCTTTTCAACAGAGTCACATTCAACAGAGTTATTGTGAGCAAACTGAGGAGCTAAAGGATGGAGACAGCCAGGCCGGTGCTGCCCTTCAGGCCAGAGGCATGCAGCCCTGACCAGAGCAGCAGCAGCGGATGGTGAGATAGGAGAGCTCTGAGTATATTTTGAGGGGAGATCCTGGGGGTTTTATTGATGCACTCAGATGAGGGGTATGAGGAAAAGGGGGAGGAGTCAAGAACGGGTTCCTAGAATGACAACATTGCTATTTACTAAAGTGGAGAAGAATAGAGGAAAATAGCTTTGAGGGTGTATGTGGGGAGGAAGGGAAGAGAATTTGGTGCTAGTTATGTTTGAAATGCCAGGTGGACATCTAGTTGGAGATGCCAGATAGGCATGTGGAGAAGTTAGAGATGAAGATGTGAAATTTGGATTTATCAAGTTATAGATTTTCCTGAGAATAATGAGATTGAGTTGGGTGATCTAGGAAATAGTGTAGAAAGAATCGAGTAACTGAGTGATTTGTGCGCATGCCTGCTATTGAAGGCAGAGAAAGAGGAGTTGTGAGGAAATGACTATGGAGTAGGAGGAAAACCTGCAGAGGGTGGCACCGGGAACCAGCTGAAGGAGGAGTGATCTGATGTATCAAATGCTGCTGCTAGACCAAGTCAAATAAGGACTTGGCATGGAATATTGATTTAAATTATGTACGGTTTCTTGGTGACCTTGACAAAAACAAATTTGACATGTGGTGGGCAAACAGTCTAATGCAGAAGAAGAGAGGATAGAGAGATGATGAACACAGCAAGGATAGACATCTCTTTGGGGAATAATTTTGCCATAAAGAAAGTAGAATAATGAGGTAGTGGTTAATAGAGCAAAAGAGGCCAACAGAAATTTATTTTCTTTTTTTTTTAATTTTATTTAAGGAGAAAAGAAAAAAAAAGCAGGGAAAGGGTACAAGTTATACAGATTTACAGAAAAAAA